CTCGTTCGAGTGCTACCGGCGTTACCCCCATAACTAAGCAAACAAAGACTTTGAGATACCATGCGTGCAATCCCGCCTGGTAACATCTCGGTGAGGTTTTACCAGGCGGGATATCGTAAGGGCACCCGGTATATGAACGCAGAATGACCGACCGAGATAATCGTTCAGTAGTGTAAGATATTATTGTGTCGTTTCTCCGAGCTTCAACGTTGCTTTTTCGAAGTAAACCCAAACGGGTCAGGCAGCTCGCTGTATTTGCTCGGAATTTTCAATTTCGAGCTTTCAGTTACCGGTGAAGCAGACTTACCATCCTTCTCCTCCACTACAGCCGCAGCAGGTAAGTTTATTGCATTACCAGGTCGTAGTTGCAATACGTTGGCTGCCATGGCATCCTCCCCAATCATCCGAGCTTCGATGGCGTGTCGAAGTAGGCCCAACCGGTAGAAACTGGCCTCACAGTACAGCTCCCGTAATTCCTCGACGGCATCCGGCAGCTTATTATCTCGCAGAAATACGTGAATAAACTGAAATACCCAGAAATCTCGGTCAAAGAAGAACGATCCATCCTTGTCGGGGCGGAGTTGCGGAGATTTCGTGCAAAGATGGGCAAGTATCGAGAAGCGATCCCGAGTCCAAACTTTCACAGTCGACTTGAACAGCTGCACCACAATTGAAGTTGAGTCAGCGAGACAGCAACTAAACAATGCACTCACAACCAGACGCACCTGTCCACCCACGTTGAAAACTATCACTGTGTCATCAGGCAAAAAACTAAAATGTTTGCTCACGTTCTTCTCGAATCTACAGCAGAGATGAAGGATAAACGTGAGCTACAACGGGCCTATCTTAGCCCTTTACCAGGTACGTACTCATCACGTTTAGCGTCGTATTCTCGCTGAGCGTCCTCGACACTCACCCACTCGGTCACCACCTTCTTCTTCTCCCCCACGAGCTGCACGAAGCGCACCACGCATCAGACTCAGTTGTTGCAGCCTAATTGCATAAGCTACTGCAGCAGACCTTCTTTTCCGCGCTCTCGATCAATGCCCACTCGCGCTCCAGTTCACGCCGCAACCTCTCGCGAGACAACATCAAAAGCAGATACAAAAAAAAAAAGTAGCAGTGTAACAAAGTAGCGCGTGCCATGAGCGGCTATGATGGGTAATTTACGAAGTACACATGTGTGTATACAGTACATGTATACATGTAGGACTATAAAAGGCTCACTCAATATCGATCACAATTTTTGTGTTATGGCTTTTTGAATAAAAAGTACTTTATATAGAAAAAGTGCGCATTGGTTTCGGACCACTTTTGATTTTTTTATTTTGGTGGGCCACAAGCTATGAGCAATCAAGGCAAGAACTTTTTTCAGGAAAAGTGCTTTATGACGTTTTCAGAAAAAAAAATTGAAAGAGAAAACCATGGTTCGAGCGCTGCCGAAGAGTGTCATAGAGGACATCAAGGCGGACGCTCGACAAATGTTGTCAACAGGCAAGGGCTGCGAAGATCAGCCGGATATCCGCCGAATAGCTCTAAAACACCGTTGCTCTTCTATAACGGTCCGAAATGTCCTGGCAGGGAAGTCGACCGGAACCGTTCAGCTCGGTCGGCGACCCAAGCTTTGCCAGGACAAAGTGGCCAGAGACTTGCTGCAGTTGCCTGCCGGTATCTCTGGGCGCGATCAAGCTAGGCATCCGCAAATCCCTCCGACCACGCTCAGGCAGGGCTCGGAAAAAAAAATTATTCCGTATAAATAGTATTCATATTTCTTGTACGGAATTATTAACTATTGATATATATGACTATGTGATATTATTGCACAACGACACAATATACTGCTATTAATACTATAAGAAGTATTATACTAGCCGTGGACGGTTCAATCAATCGCCGACGGTCCCATAACCGTAGTTGGATGGCTTAGAGCTTCACAACGCTTAGCCATCTAGAAAGCAACCTTCGTACAAAATTTAAGCTCTCAGTTCCAACTGCATTCTCTACTGTAAAACTCTTCAGAATGAGCACTACAGGCAACAGCGACCTTTGCCGCTTCTTTTTCGCTGCTGACACAGACCACTATTTTGTCTGCAACTACTGTAGCGCCCGGCGCAAGCAGCTCCCTTCAAGTGGCTACGCAAATATGATCAGCCATCTCAAGGACAAGCACCCCGGCTACGTTGAAGACTACAAGTCCCATCAAAGCAGACAGGCGGGTTCGCTTAGAACCTTTGGGTTTGTCAACCCTACCGCATCCAACATGTATCGATGGATCGAGTGGTTCGTCGCCCGTAACATGCCGTTAAGCGAGGTCGATGATCCACTCACTAGAGGCATGTCGAAACTTCAGCCTGTCTGTTCAAAGACGCTCAAGCGATGCATGACTTTACTTGTTGCTGCTGTCGAGGCTAAGATTACTGCCGAGATGTCAGGGCAGTATGGCTACATGTATGATGCATCTACGTTCTATCTGGAGAACTACGTGGCTCTTTACGTTGTGTATTGTTATGACGAACAGCTGAGGCAAGTGCTGCTCGCTATCGCCCCAATGGAAGAAGGCGACCTGACGGTCCAATCAAATTGTTCCTTCATCAAGAAAATCTGCGAGATTTTCCACCTATCAGAGTCGAATATGGCATTTCTGATTGGTGATAATTGTTCGACTAACCAAGCTACTGCGACACGTCTCGACGTTCCCCTGATTGGTTGTGCGTCGCACCGATTTAATTTGGCTGTAAATGCGTATTTGGAAAGCTACAAGGCTGAGATCGAGGCAGTCAGCGCACTC